AATTGGTGAAGGGAGGGGGAAGGGAGGAGGAAGGGAGCAAGATACGAGGCTGCATGAGGATGTGGAGCAGGAATGACGACGAGGCTTAGAGCTCAGCTCAGCCTGGCATGAATATGTAACCTCGCCAACCAAATACACATCCTCATACAGGATAGAACCAAATTATTTTGTAGTGATTACGACAGTAAGGCAGGTGAGGGAATCCGGAGGGAATATGAAAGTAGGAATCCTCTAGTATGAGTGAACGAAGGGGGTCAGCGGTGGCTTGGCAGTTTGAGGTGCTCTTTGAGCAGGGACGGAAGATTCCTGAAGTAGAATCCCACGCAACGCGACTCGGCTCGAGACCACGGGCCTGATAGAAAACAAGAGCGACTCAGGTTGTGCTGGCTTTATTTTGCACACCTTCCAAGCCCCAATCGCATGCATCCAAGACCTCAATTTTCATAGTTTTTTCGTGGTTGAGGTTGGCGAGGAGCGTGGGACATGCCAAATCCTCAGTCCTGGCGACTCTCTCATTCTGTTGTCCAGTTAATGCCAGGACTGGTTAATAGACACATTGGGAGGGGGTTGAGATGAGGTGGCAAGGCTGGGGCGGGCATGGCAGTTTGCCGAGAGCCTCCCCAGCCCAGCAATGGTTTTACGCCACATGTCAGACACACGGAAAAAAGGGCTCGGAGAGAGCCAAACTTGGCTCGGCAATGACAGAAAGCGAGCTGAAGCAGCTAACGGTGAGCCTGGTTCGAATTCGCACATTGCTCCCGCATACATCACCCGCACCACTGTACAATGGAATGGGAGTCGAAGTAACTACGAGGGGTCCTTGATAGGAAGGAGAGCCTCACTCCAGTCGAAACATAAGTCAATCAGAAATTAGCTTCCCCTCAAGCTATGACTCTCACAGAATAGGTCAGTTGGAGGGTACAGCAGTCACAAGGTAGGTCAGGACCCAGCTAGGTCAATCAAACATAGGTCACTTGCAGGCTAGGACAATAACAAGGTAGGTGAGACAAAAGTTTGTTCAGTCAGAGGCCAAGTCAATCATAGGCCAAGACTCTCACAGGCCGAGACACTCACAGGCCAAATGTGCGCCTCTAATGTGACTTGGACGCATTCCCAGGTCGAGTCAACGTTGACTTGCGAGTTCTCTCCACCCAATATGCCAAGTTTCATAGAATCAAAATAGGACTCTAATCGAGTCGAGGTTGAGCAACTCGTTTTGATCTGAGCGTGAGTCGACCCGAGGTCGAGTCGTGCGGACTCACAAATGTCTAGGCTGAGTCACTTACAGGCAAGGTCAGTCAAGTTAGATGTCAGTCAAGTTAGCTGTCAATCAAGTTAGATGTCAATCAAGTTAGATGTCTGTCAAGTTAGATCAATCACGTGCAAGAAAAGTCACGGTCTGGGTCACTCACAGCCTAGGTTGGTCACAAGCTGAGGTTGGCCACGGGCTAGGTTGGTCAGACCCCGGGAGGGAAAGCATGGAAAGAGGCCGAGGCAATGCTAACAAGGGCAAGCATGATGCGTCAAAGAGACTCTGCTAGTTTCTTGGCGGTGCAAATTTCGCAAAGGGACTCAATATGTAACCTAAATTTGCACATCAGCACGATTGACAGAACTACGAGCAACACAATTCTCTGGGAGCCTCAGGCTTGCAATGCAAAGGGACTGCCGGGGAAACGTTGGGAAGCTTGCCTCTATTTAGGGTTTCCTAAATTGTTGCTTTTCCGCGCCTTTCAACAGCGCGGGTAAGTCAATCTGCAGAGCGCGCTGTGTGACGGCAAGATTTCAACGACTTTGATAATGTCGAGAGGGAATGAGGCGGAGATGAGTGGGGTCAGAACAGTTACGAGAGCACACGATGCGTGGAAGACAGTATGAGCGACATGAGGGAACGGTGCCGCCGTTCGTACCGGTTTCGTATAGGCGATTCGAGTCACCACCTCTTGCGATTGGAGATATTTCTCTTGCAATGTACGCCTACTAAGCGTTACAACTAATCGCACACTTGTACTCGCTAAACGTACTACGACAATCAGGCCTTGATCATGGTACGAATTTGAGGCGGTCTGTTATGAATGAACTTGCAGAGTGCGCAGTAAAACGAATAACGAGAATGACTGAGTACTGAATTCCTGAATACAATGGAAGTGACGAGGCCTAAATAGGGGAAGTCCTAGCTAGGCAGAGAGGTTGGGCGAGGATGGCTCGGTGATGGTTGCGATTGGAGCGGAGGCGACTCGGGAGTGGTTCAGAGCTACGAAATAGGAAGGACAGGTTCGACGCGTGACCCTCGGGATGGCCTCGTTAACGAGTGCCCCAGTAAGGATTCTGTAAATCCTTACACGGTCCAACCAATGCCGAGTTCAGAGTTACCAGTTACACAATCTGAACAGCACTCGCATTACAAAGCATGAATTTCTCGGTCACCAAACTGACATTTGCGAGGCATCAGTTACCCCTCTAGAAGAACGTTCGCCGATTTCGCACTCTCTAGTTGTTGAATGTGCGGATGGTAACTGCGCATCAACGAGGAAAACTGTGCAAGCGAACGCGTCTTAGAAAATGCTCAAGAGCTGCTCTCATCCCACCGTCCTAGTTTCCAGCAGCAGAATCCACGAGTCGCTTGGCGTTACTAGTTATCACTAGCATGAATATCGAATCCGCGTAGCAGTTAGTACCAGTCGTCGGGATAGGTGTTGTTTATGCTCATCCTGCTTTCTGCCCTTACTCCTTCCACCATGAGATTCTTTCACTCCCATCATGTCTCTGCCATGATTGGGCCTAAAACTTCTTGTTAAAGTGTTTGGACGCGAGACGCGCTTGTGTGAAATGCACACATTCTGTATATTGGCCGTGTGTGGGCCACTCCGAAATTCTGAAACCAGATACATCAGTTCAAAGTGCATACATTCAGCAGCTGCAATCTGAGGCAACGGGGTTCTTCTTGGCTTTATGCCACATGGTCATATGCCCTAGAAATCAATTGGGAGTACAGTAACAAGGGGAACATTCAGCCTCTTCGCGGGAGAAGAACCAGCCGACTTCCGTTCAGCAGTAGAAAGACTAGTGAAGTTCAAAATCAGAGGGGAAAATTGTGCCACCACTCTTCAAGAGCAGCAGCAGCAGCAGCAGGAAACTGCCATTCGGCAAACGTCCGCGCGAGCACAGATTGCACGTACCCCCAACTTTGAGCAATGGGAGCTCCTTGCTGTTACGTGGGGCGATGATGCACGAGTGGTCAGAAGAGGCAGACCACAGGGGCCTGATAACCTGCCAAGGGCCTAGCGGAAGACGTGATGATAGGTGGGCCCTTGCAGCTTGCGCCTACTGAATAGGCCCTGCAAAAAGGGAGAGGTGATGGCAGGCAAGGCAGAGAAGGTGGCAAGTTAAGAAAGCGAGGATGATGAATAAGATCTGGCAGAACACACTCCTGAAAATTCGCCTGAAAACCAATCCTCTTGAGCCCACAGCTCTCTTGTTTGTTTTCAGGCGAGTTTCCGGGAGTGTGCTCTGGCCTTGCAAGGTGATCTTGGCTCTGCGCCTACCAAACAGGGCCTGTTCACCATAACCCGCCTCCCTCTTCACTTCCCCCTTTTACCCATCAGGTCATACCCTTATCCCCCACCTTGCCTCACTGCCTTGTCCTCCGCCCCACTCCCACGCCCCTCAACTCACCACCTAGGAGGGAAGCGAGTGGCAGGCAAGAAGCCGAGACCTCCATGCAACCACCAAAATGGAATGAGACTGGTGACCTGAGACTGACCTGAGACTGACCTGAGACTGACCTGAGACTGACCTGAGACTGACCTGAGACTGACCTGAGACTGACCTGAGACTGACCTGAGACTGACCTGAGACTGACCTGAGACTGACCTGAGACTGACCTGAGACTGACCTGAGACTGACCTGAGACTGACCTGAGACTGACCTGAAACTGACCTGAGACTGACCTGAGACTGACCAAAGACTGACCTGAGACTGACCTGAGACTGACCTGAGACTGACCTGAAACTGACCTGAAACTGACCTGAAACGGACCTGATACTGACCTGAGACTGACCTGAGGCTGACCTGAGGCTGACCTCAGAGTGACCTGAGAGTGATCTGAGCATGACCTGGGAACGGCCTAAGACTGACGCAAGGCCCTCTCCCCCCCTGACCTCAGCTGCAGGCTTAATGGCGAAGCTAAAGGAGGCATTCAAGGCAAAGGGTGCGCCACACCGGCCAGGGCTGTCAATAAAATCAAAGAGGCGGATGGGCGCTGCACCGTGACTGCTTTTGACGTGTTGCTGGTCGGTGGCGTGAGGATGATGGTGCTGTTGAATGGCTGCACTGCTGCACCTGCCAGGTAGACTGGTGTTGTCTGTGACAACTTGGTTGAAGGGAGGACTGCAGGGTTATCCAGAGCAAGGCAAGGCAGGCGGGTGCAAAGAAACAGAAGAAAAGCGGTTGGATGTTGTAATCTATGTATATACATGTATAAAAGAGCGGTTCAAGAGGTTTGTACTGCGAAGCAGCTGTAATGGTAACACTTACGAGGAGAGAGCGGGGTACGCATCACAATCACATTGTGCTGCAAGAGAGTGCCATCTGCTCCTCATAAAGTGGTTCAATTTTCGCATCGACAGATCACTCCGCCTCTCTCAAAAACAGTGCATACATACCACTGTGCGGTCCGGTCTGGTTGTTGAAATTGCTATTGCATGAGCGTACCAATTCCTGTGCAGACACACTGAAAAAACACACGCCATGCCCGCTGCACAGGTGCCGGGCATCCGCAGCAGCAACCCCATAGAACGCACTGCACTCCTCTGCTCTGGGTAGTCTCCAGGCGCCCGGGACGCGTTGAGTAGGAGTGCAGAGGAGAAGGTGGTGCGGTTGGCCTTGGGCGGCACGACGGCGCCGTGGGAGAAAAAGTTGCAGTGGGCGTAGGGCAGGTAAGGCAGGAACTGCTCCACTCAAGAACTGCAGGTAGGGCGACAGGGGCGATGGCAGCCGCCATGTCCACTAGTTGGCTGACACGACGTTGTGACGAGGGGGCGGGGGCGGAGCAAGCCAAGGCGGGGAGTTACGTGGAAAAATGGGGTGAGAGGGGGTGCGTTGAGAGTGGGTGAGAAGCGAACACGCATAGGGTTGTGCAGAGAAACGATGCAGTGCTCTGTCGGGAGAATGCGGTTACCCTGCTGTGGTTACCCTGCTCCCCTCCCTACTGTGGTTCCTCTCCTCCCTTCCCTGCTGCGGTTCCTCTCCTCCCTTCCCAGCTGTGGTTCCCATGCTCCCCTCCCTGCTATGGTTCCTCTCCTCCCTTCCCTGCTGTGGTTCCCCTGCTCCTCTCCCTGCTGTGGTTCCTCTCCTCCCTTCCCTGCTGTGGTTCCCATGCTCCCCTCCCTGCTATGGTTCCTCTCCTCCCTTCCCTGCTGTGGTTCCCCTGCTCCTCTCGCTGCTGTGGTTCCTCTCCTCCCTTCCCTGCTGTGGTTCCCCTGCTCCTCTCCCTGCTGTGGTTCCTCTCCTCCCTTCCCTGCTGTGGTTCCCCTGCTCCTCTCCCTGCTGTGGTTCCTCTCCTCCCTTCCCTGCTGTGGTTCACCTGCTCCCTTCCCTGCTGTGGTTCCTCTCCTCCCTTCCTTGCTGTGGTTCCCCTGATCCTCTCCCTGCTGTGGTTCCTCTCCTCCCCTCCCTGCTGTGGTTCCCCTGCTCCCCTCCCTGCTGTGACTCCTCTCCTCCCTTCCCTGCTGTGGTTCCCCTGCTCCTCTCCCTGCTGTGGTTCTTCTCCTCCCCTCCCTGCTGTGGTTCCCCTGCTCCCCTCCTTGCTGTGGTTCCTCTCCTCCCCTCCCTGCTGTGGTTCCTCTCCTCCCCTCCCTGCTGTGGTTCCCCTGTCCCCACATCTGCTCTTACTCCAAGCTCGGAGCACTGGAATTCCACCATTCATCTCATGTAGACGTGCACTGACGCCACCCTCCTTGTCGGATTGCGGGGTTGTGGTCTTGGCCTATACTCCTCGAACCCCGACTCATGGACGAACAAGCCAAAATTTCCCCACATAAACCCCTTCATCCGTGGGTCGTAGACAGGGTTCACCTGGCTGAAATGATCCGTCACCGCCCGCTTCACCGCCCTGCGGATGCTTGCCACCCACCGCGTGTTCTTTCGGTGGGAGTTTGTGAGGTTCATCGTCGACTTCTTGACCTTCGACAAGCCGTAGTCAATCTGCATTGTCAAAATAGGGGAGCATGGACAGATTCAAGCGTGATAAGTGTGAGAGGTCGTAATCATGTGGGGCAAGCACAACATCCAGTGAAGTACGCCATGGTGGTAGAGTGTGAGCATGAAAGGTGTTAGAGGAGTGGGGCAGCTTCTAAAAGAAAGAGGAAACCAAAGAGTGTTGGGCGTCAGCACCTGCAACACAGTCGAACGAAGGTGGTTCAATGGGTGGGGTGTGAAAAGGGAAGAGGGTGGATGGGCTGGCGAATCACAGGTTTCTACAACGGTCCATGTAAAGGAAACGCCAAGCTATGGAGTACAAATATGGGGTGTTGCAAGAAACGGGTGCTAGGGCTGAGATGGTGAAACAAGGTGGAGGGGGGGAGGGTGGGGGAAAAGGTCAGGCAGGTGTTTACTCACTCGGGCCATACTCCCCCCAGAGATCCTCCTTGAGCTCAGTGTCGATGTGGATTTCCGCTGCCCGCAAGCCACTCATAGGAACACCCAACCCCTCGAGCACAGTCCGTTTGACGTAAAACCCGCGCTCGTTCTTCCAGTGCGTATACACGCGCTTGAATGCATCCCTCCGTGTTTTATCCGCCATGGCCTCCTTCAGCAATATCAATGGAACCACATAATGCTCAGAAATGACTTCATGCAAAACAAGAATCCGCTTCTCAAATCTTTGGTAGAACGTGACAAGATGGTCCTCAGCTTCCATACACATGCGCTTCCTTGCTTCTTCCATGTACAGCTGTTTAAATTGAGAATGTAGGGTAAACCAAAGAATGGGAATGTGGGGTATTGGGAATTAGTATATGTCACTGCAGAGACTGAGACCAGAGGGTGGGATGAGAATGAATCACTGCAGAGAAGGAAACTAGAGAGTGGGAATGTGAATGAGTCACTGCAGGTAATGAGACCAGAGGGTGGGATGAGAATGAATCACTGCAGCGAAGGAAACCAGAGAGTGGGAATATGAATGAGTCACTGCAGAGAATGAGACCAGAGGGTGGGATGAGAATGAATCACTACAGAGAAGGAAACCAGAGAGTGGGAATGTGAATGAGTCACTGCAGAGAATGAGACCAGAGGGTGGGATGAGAATGAATCACTGCAGAGAAGGAAACCAGAGAGTGGGAATGTGAATGAGTCACTGCAGAGAAGGAAACCAGAGAGTGGGAATGTGAATGAGTCACTGTAGAGAATGAGACCAGAGGGTGGGATGAGAATGAATCACTGCAGAGAAGGAAGCCAGAGAGTGGGAATGTGAATGAGTCACTGCAGAGAATGAGACCAGAGGGTGGGATGAGAATAAATCACTGCAGAGAAGGAAACCAGAAAGTGGGAATATGAGTGAGTCACTGCAGAGAATGAGACCAGAGAGTGGGAAAAACTAGACAACTGGAGAAAGAGAATGAAAATGCACCATTGGTCAAACAAAACCGTATAATGAGCAAGCCAGCGAGTCAGGTGTGGCAATCGGTAGGAGAAATTGGTGGCACTTACCTTCAAATTAGTCGCGTTTGGCATCCCATGCCTCCTGGTGATGGGAGTGCCTTGTACAGCGCTCTCCGCCACAGCGTCCGGCGTTTCAGGCGGCTCAGGTTGTTCACCGGATATCGAGGTAAGTGGCGGGATTTGCGTCCCATTTCCCCCCCGGTCCACCGAAGGTCCACGACCGGCCTTTAGCTCGGCAATCTGCCGATTAGCTTCCTGCAATGCCTGGAAGAGTTGCTGCATGGATTCATTAGGAGAATTGCTCGAGGGAATGATAGGCACTCCGCTAGCGTCGAGCGGGGAATTGCCTCTTGCCGATGCGAACGGGGGTGGAGTTGCTGGGGCAGAGAGTCCAACTTTCCTGCCATCATTGAACCAATCTCCAACACCACCCGCCTCACCATCTTCCGCCCCCAGCCCCCCACCACAGGCCGGATCGTCACTGCCACCGGCTGGATTGTGCGTGTTGTCATGCTGCTGGCCAGCGTTGTCACGCACACTCCAATCTTGAAATCTAGATGCTCTCTTTCCCAATCCTGAGGTGGAAGCAAGGGCAGCATACGGATCGTTGGTTGGTGCCCGTTTCATCCGAACGTTCTCCCGACGATTCGACGGACCAGCATCATCCGAGTTCACCATGGTCCTCATCTCATTGTAGAAGCCAAGGTCCTGTCTCACAACAGGACGCTCCTTACGACGCCGCCGGGCATAACCCTCAGTATCTGCTCGCTTTCCTTGAGCACACTCTCTATGTCTCTGCCGTTTACGTCCACTACCAGCCTTACCACCGGTTGCATGACCACGCTTTCCGCTATAGCGGTGGTTGCGCGCTCCTCGCGCCCTCCCCCCTCTCCTATCGTCGTCATCACTCCCGGACCCAGTTTCAGCGTCATCACTCTCGTCCTCTTCCTCATCATACTTCTCCTCGCTCCCGGATGAACTCCCTGATTCCTCCTCAGAACTATCTTCTCCATCAGAAGATTCGACCTCAGCAGCGGCCTTCTTTCCAGCCTTTCTGGACCGTGCCTTCACCCTCCCTGACACCCCCCTCCGATCTTCTAGCTCAGCGCCACGGCTCTCCCTCCCACCCTCTTCATGCCCTCGAACATTGTGTGCATCAGCCGCACGAACACCTGCTGGAGTAGAGGGAGAAGACGCATCATGCTTCATATCACGCTCTCCATCACGCTTCACCCCACGCTCCCCCACACGCTTCACATCATGCTCTCCCTCACGCTTCACATCACTCTCTCCATCACGCTCTCCCTCTCGCTCTCCCTCACGCTTCACATCACGCTCTCCCTCACGCTCTCCCTCACGCTCTCCCTCACGCTCTCCCTCCCGCCTGCCCTCACGCCTGCCTTCACGCCTGCCCTCAAGCCCTCCCTCACGCCTGCCCTCATGCTCTCCATCACGCTCATCCCCACGCTTATGCCCTTTCTCTGGCAGTTGCTCCTTGTCATCTACATCTTGCACGATTCCTGTTGCACCAGCCGCGTCTTGTCTTTCTTTCTTAATTTTCTTGGCTCCAGTGAGGGTACCTACAGCACGCATGAAGTAAGGACGATACGCTCAGTTAATAGGAGGGCAGCACCTCTCTGGATTGGGTGCGAACACATCCAAATTATTAACGAGCAACTTTTTGACATACAAACTTGAAGAAGCTGGATAAAAGCTCATTGCGTACCTTTCCTCCTCGTAGCAGGTTTGCACTGGTCCAACGGCTTCAGCTTTCGACCGTTCCTCCGCCCGCGTGAACCGCCGCGTCTAACCTTGCCATCGTAGGCCTCTTCTTCAGATTGCTCACTATCCGATGAAGATGCCCCTTCTGATTCCACCTTGGCATCGCGTGCAGGAAGTGTGTTCTTCCGACGATACCGCACAACTAGCTGGGAGGTATCGTGAGGCGTCATCTTATCGTGCAGCTGCTGTTCCGCGTCGGTTTTTGCGTCGCCCGAGGGATGTAAAGCTCCAACGCTACCGAGGAGCGCACTAGCATTGGCCTGTTCAGAAACGATGATGTCCGCCATCTCTCTATCAATTCTGCTAAACAAGCCCAATTAACGGTTACAAAATTTTGCTGTGCATCCCTAAGTATCAAATTTTCCATAAATACGTGTTAGAGACGCAAGGAACAGCGGCGCGCGAGCTGGACGTGCCTGCCAGAACAACACACTACGTGCCCGCGAAACTCGCCAACGGCCGCGAAACGCGCCCTTGCTGGACGCGCCGTCAGATAACATCACCGCCTTCCCAGAGCAGGACGAGCCTACTACGAGAGCCAATCGCAACGCCAAAGCAGGACGTGCTTCCTTCGAGAGCCACTCGGAGCACCATAGCTGGATGAGCCTATTACGAGAACAGCAATGTGGCGGCTATTACGTGCTACCACTGCCATATTCTCACTTTGCATCGAGTGCCAGAGGGAACATCGACATTGACTAACAGGTAGTACTACTACCGTTGTTGCTTGGCGTGCCTACCATAGGGGGTTATCGTGACGAGAACCGAACGGCTTCCAGCAAGACGAACTAGGTGGTTCGAACGTGGAGCATATCGTGGTCTCGTCTCCCGGCATGAGAATCGGCATGAAGATGCTTGTTCCTGTAACGAGTTACCAGGTGGCAGCACGTTGGGTTGTGGGGGTTGGTGCAGCGCAACAGTTTAGCTGCTCTAGGGGTTGCAAGGAACGCGCTGTCAATGAGCCAATGTTTCGAATCCTAAATTGACTACTTGGGCTAGAACGCCCTAGCGCCCACAATGCCTGATCGGAATTGTAAGTGCGTCAAGTAGAAAGTAAATACATGCGTGAGCACGGGAACTGAACCAAGCCTTGCCGCACACCAAAAAATAAAATCGATGTGACTGCAGCAAATTGGCAGCGCGTTGTCGGCGCACATTTGTGCGTTTGGAGCCGTGATGGATGCAAGACATCGCGGTTCGAGAATACCCCGAGTGGTTGCGTTGAAACCTTGATTTCGTGGCACGGCTATTTGTAGCGGGGATGTAACATGATTGATGCGATAAGGGAATGACGAATTTGGGAAATGTTAAAAGGTTCACAAAGTTTCCCTTCAAAACAAGGTGCTCACAGGTTGCTTCAAACTAATCATCCTGCATGCGTAAACTAACAGTGTCAGTCCGGCCGCCGTATCGCACACTGGTATGCTTCTATGCATTTGCAGTCTCAGTTTAGGGTGAATACTTGGCGTGACTTACAACGACTATACCAGTGTTCACACCTAGCAACCATCAATAAACATTGTGCAATTCGTGAGAGCGAGCACAATTAGGATCACATCAACAACTGGCTTGCCGCGTAGATGTTACAGTCTTGGAGATGATAGAAGCTGCATAGTGTCCACATTTCTACGCTCACGGGCTGATGCATAGCACCCTTTCTAGGGTGCTGCAGAAGGATGATTCGCGTTGAGGTGCATGTGAAAGTGAAATACTTACATGGTTGCCTGCCATGCCTCTTGGAGGTTGTTCCTGACTACTCATCAAGTTCAGCAAGACCCCAACCACTATGTTGTGTTTGTGAGTGTCCTGACTGACACCATGTAGTGGTCGGCTTAGAGCTTACCACCCCATGCAAAGCAGTTACCGTACTGTCATGTCAGTTTCCATCAAGCGTCGAGCAGTATGAAGCAACAGATTGTCAGGTGCTAATGCATATCACTAACCAACACCAAGCAGGCTTAATGGCATCAATCAGCGTGGATCGACCCACATGCATTGTGATAGACACAGCACCACCTAACCCTCCGTGCTTGCTTTCCGCGCCCTGCTTCATCTGCTACTCCCCTCCGTGCTTGCTTTCCGCGCCCTGCTTCATGCTACTCCCCTCCGTGCTTGCTTTCAGCGCCCTGCTTCATGCTACTCCCCTCCGTGCTTGCTTTCCGCGCCCTGCTTCATGCTACTCCCCTCCGTGCTTGCGTTCCGCGCCCTGCTTCATGCTACTCCCCTCCGTGCTTGCTTTCCGTGCTCTGACGAAATGTTACTCACGCCTAGGCGATACAAGATTTTGAAGGAGGCCACACCAGCTTCCGTGCTACGTCTTCCTTCGGCGTGGCCCTACTTCACATCCACTGCCTGCTTTTGAGCTACAGAGCATCGGGCAATGATGCAGGTCCTGCCCCTCATCATCAACCTCCCAGGACAAGAAGATATCCTCACGGCCATTGTCAAGATGGTCGAGTGGTAAAAGGCGTTCATCCGCGCTGAGTACCATACCGACAACTCTCTGGAACAGATGAAAGACGCCACCATCAAGTAATTACTCCGTCTGTTATGTGGTTTCCCAGGCCCTTCATTGCCACGTACGCACATTTTCATTGTCGCGCCCGTACCCTAAATGCTCCTCCCACCCTCCTTCATAGGCTTGACTTCATAGGCTTCTGTGTTTCCCGTTTGTACAATACCAAGCTTGTTGCTCAGTTCCCTACCAGCTTCACCTTCGTACTCGCCTGTTTCTCCCTTTCGTGCGATGATTTCCCTCCCCAGGCTCCATCGTACTCCGTGACCTTTGGCTGCCCTCCTTCCATCGTGGTTTTGCCTGACCCATCTTCTCCCTCTGCACTGCATCGCTGTTCCTCCACAACCCACTTCCCTGCTCCCTCCTTCCGTGTTTCTGTTTTCGCTGTCTGCTTCCTCACTCCCCCTCCCGCATCCCGTTTCTCCCTTCTCGGCCTGCATTCCCCCTCTTAACTGCATGCGTTGTATCTAAATTTTCTCCAGGATGGTGAAGGCTCTTCGTGTCGCTTTCCCTAAGCAGAAGTCGAAGTGGAAAATTGTTAAGATTCATCTTCTCGTTCACCTCCCATCAACCATCCGTATGAGGGGGATCCCTGCCGAGTACTCGTCGAACTGCTACGAGCACTCCCACAAGACCACTGTGAAGCGTCCTTCACGTGGCACGAACTGGAAGAATGTTGAAGATCGAATCGTCCGGAAACACCTGGAGCATGCGGTAGTTAGGCAACTCGCGCGGGAGGCCGGAGGGGACAGCATGTACGAGACCTCGATGAAAGAGGTGAGTTTTACGAACCTGCTCTGTTCCCCTGCACCCCGTCGTCAACTAAGTTTCCCTGTTTTGATCCCATGCTGTGATCTCCTAAAGTGATGCCATGCTCTGTTCTCTTGCTCGGTTCCCCTCCTCTGTTCCGCTGCTCTGTTTCCCTGCTCGGTTCTCTTGCTCTCTCCCCCTGCTCTGTTTCCCGGCTCGGTACTCTTGTTCTCTCCCCCTGCTCTGTTTCCCTGCTCGGTTCTCCTTCTCTCTCCCCCTGCTCTGTTCCTCTAGTCATTTCCCCTTCTTTGTTATCTGCTCTGTTTCCCTGCTGTGTTCCCTACTGTGTCTTCCCCGCTCTGTTCCCTGCACTGTTATCCTCTGCCATGTTCCATTCTGTGTCTGCCCTGCTTTGTGCCCTGCTGTATTCCCTTCAGTTTCCCTGCTATGCTCCCTTCTGTGTCTGCCCTGCTCTGTGCCATGTTCAGTTTGCCCGAGCTCGGTTCTCATGCTCTCTCCCCTGCCCTGTTTCCCTGCTCGGTTCTCATGCTCTCTCCCCTGCCCTGTTTCCCTGCTCGGTTCTCATGCTCTCTCCCCTGCCCTGTTTCCCTGCTCGGTTCTCATGCTCTTTCCTGCTCTGTTTTGCTGCTCGGGTCTCATGCTCTCCCCCCCTGCTCTTTTTCCCTGCTCGGCTCTCTTGCTCTCTCACACTGCTCTGTTCCCCTCGTCATTTCCCCTTCTTTGTTATCCGCTCTGTTACCCTGCTATGTTCCATGCTGTGTCTCCCCTACTCGGTGCCCTAATCTGTTTCCCTGCTCTGTTCCCTGCACTGTTACCCTGCCATGTTCCGTTCTGTGTCTGCCCTGCTCTGTGCCCTGCTCTGTTCCCTTCACCGTTTCCCTGATTTGTTCACTTCTGTGTCTGCCCTGCTCTGTGCCCCGCTCTGTTCCCTTCACTGTTTCCCTGATTTGTTCACTTCTGTGTCTGCCCTGCTATGTGCCCCGCTCTGTTCCCTTCACTGTTTCCCAGATTTGTCACTTCTGTGTCTGCCCTGCTCTGTGCCCCGCTCTGTTCCCTTCACTGTTTACTTGATTTGTTCACTTCTGTCTCTGCCCTGCTCTGTGCCCCGCTCTGTTCCCTTCACCGTTTCCCTGATTTGTTCACTTCTGTGTCTGCCCTGCTCTGTGCCACGTTCTGTTCGCTCATCTCTTTGCCTGCATTTCTGTTTCCATGCTCTCTGCATGAGTTGGCAATCACATTTAGGACCAACATAACCAAAGTAATCGATTCCTACCCCCCCATCCCCTTCTTCGTCCCCACAACCTCTCCCCCTTTCCCCCACACCCATTCCCCCTTCGTAGCCTTTCCCTTCTTTGCCCACACCTCGCATCCATTCCTTATCCCCCCCCTTCCTCCTCCCTCCGAAAGGACTCACCATACAACCCTCCCCCTCCCTATACCAACCCTCTCCTCTCCACGGTGACAGGCATGCCTGGCTGGCCGGAGGGTGCTTACTAAGACCCACAAGAAGATGGTCCTGGGGGACATCGCCGACTCAGTGTTTCGGAGCTACGTCTTGACTGTTGGTGAACCCGCCATGAGTGCGATGGTTCTCCGACTCAGACGAGCAGGCATCAACACGCAAGTTTTGCAGGTGCATTCCCGGTCGTATGGATATGCCATTTTTTCTCACTGCCGCCAAATCCACCCACTCCAGCCCCCCTTCCCCCTCTCCTGCATGCTTTCCACCCACTCCAGCCCCCCTTCCCCCTCTCCTGCATGCTTTCCACCCACTCCAGCCCCCCTCCCCCCTCTCCTGCATGCTTTCCACTCACTCCATCCCCCCTTCCCCCTCTCCTGCATGCTTTCCACTCACTCCAGCCCCCCTTCCCCGTCTCCTGCATGCTTTCCACTCACTCCAGCCCCCCTTCCCCCTCTCCTGCATGCTTTCCACCCACTCCAACCTCGCTTCCCCCTCTCCTGCATGCTTTCCACCCACTCCAGCCCCCTTTCCCCCTCTCCTGCATGCTTTCCACCCACTCCAGCCCCCCTTCCCCTGTCAAATGATATATATGTGTTATATATATAGGTAGGCTACAGTGGGGTAGATGTTATAGAGGATAGAACTTTAGGGTTATGCCCCTTGTACCAAACTCTCTCGACAATTGACTCAACCTTGCCTAGCTATCTCAACATGTAATCTAGAGCAGGTTCTTAGGACCTAAGTTTAAGGGCCCACCGGTTACTAAGTTACCTCACCAACGGCCTGCCTGCCTGCCTTGCCTGTCTGTCTGCCTAGCCTGCTGCCCGCGCGCGCCTCGGCTGCGCGCGCACACCTTTTTTTTAGCGCGCACTGCTGCTGCCCGCCGTGTCGTGCCCCGTAGGTCGCTCGCGCAGCCCGCCCAGAGCCCGCGTCGCCCGCGCGCGACCCGTTGTTGCCACGCGCAGCCCGCTAAGGCCCCGCGCGGCCCGTCTGCAGCCCGCGCGCCGCGTCCGTCGCTCGCGCGCAGTCCTTTTAGGCCCCGCGAGTCGCGTTTGCTGCCTGCGCGGTCTGCCCCAGCGCTGCGCGCAGCACCTACCGCCCGCGCGCAGCCCACCTAAGCCCTACACGCCGCGCCCGCCGCTCGTGCAGCTCATTGCTGCCCTGTGCATAGCGTCTGCCAGGGTTTAGGGTTTAAGCACAGTTGCCTACTACAGTTGCCTGCTGCCTGAGCCTGGAGCCTTTGCCTGCTACCTGAGTCTTTGCGTGCTGCCTGAGCCTTTGCCTGCTACCTGAGCCTTTGCCTGCTACCTGAGCCTTTGTCTGCTACCTGAGCCTTTGCCTGCTGCCTGAGCCTTTGCCTGCGCTGCAACCATGGCGACCCTTACAGTTCTCGCCTTTGAGCCTGACGGCCGCCCCATCGAGTTTGACACCTGGCTTAGTGATCTGCGGCTTTACCTTATGACTGACGTCGCAGACGGAGTATCACTGCTCGCCTATGTGACTGGCACTGTCCCTACTCCCGCTGAGAATGCTGTGAAGTAAGGAAAACAGGAAATGAAAATGACTAAGTCAGAGTTGGGTACAAATACAACCCTAGAAAGCTGTACCCCATATGGGCTACCCCACTATAGCCTACAAACATGCATCAGCTATGATACACTAACACACCCCCATAGGCTAAGTGGGGGAGAACAAGGGGTCACAAGACCAGTCAAGCAAAGCAAAGCAAAGCAAGCTCAGGGTGGATCACAAAGTCACCACACAGTCCGAGCACAAGAGCAGGGCCAGAGGCCAGTTCACATGCAAGAGTACAGACATATATATAAAACTAGACAAGCAAGAGGAGGTATATATATATGTCACAGTACAAGTGAAGTCAAGAGGAGAGCAAGTGAGGCAAGACAGGTACAAGACCCAGCTGGGTACAAAAGCGCTGATGGTCACAAGGCGCGAGTGCCTTGGTGAACACATCAGCAGTGTTGGCCTCAGAGGCCACGTACGCAAGTCGCAACTGACCACGCTGCTGCAGCTCACGAGCAAGGAAGTAGCGGAGAGCAATGTGCTTCGTTCTGTGCTCCAAGCGCTGCTCTCGACACAAGGCCAGCATGGCCTTGTTGTCTACCTACAGCACTGGAGGAGAACGAGGCGGCTCTCCAAGGTCAGTCAGCAGGTAGGTGAGCCAGCGAAGCTCCTGTGCAGCCATGGCCCCGGCGTAGATCTCGGCCTCACAACTGGAGCCGAGAACCGAAGACGAGCGAGTAGACCGCCACGAGACAAAGCCGGAACCAAGACTGAAGGTGTAACCCTGTGACGACCGCTGCGTAGCCTTGTCGTCAGCCCAAGAAGCGTCCGCGTGGCCGGTAAGGACCACTGGACTCCGCCCTCCAAGCACTAGCCCCATGCCCGACGTACTGCACAAGTAGCGCAATACCCTCTTCGCTGCAGCCATGTGCTCTGGTCTGTGTCTCCCAGGAGCAACATAGCGTGCAAGAATGCTCAGAGGGTATGCAAGGTCAGGTCGTGTGCAGGTCATCAGGTACATGAGGCAGCCAACAAGCTCTGCATACGGACCACTCGACTCTACGGACTCATCCGAAGGCAGAGCTGAGAGTGAGTGGCGAGTAGGCAGAGGAGTGGCCTGAGGCGAGGAGTACGTGAAGCCGAAGCGCTGAAGGACCTGCTGCACCATGTGTGACTGAGTCAAGGTAATGGTGCGGCGTGCTCTGTCCCGAGTGATCTGCAAGCCAAGGTAGCTGCGCACTTCACCCAGGTCTGTGCACGTGTGTCTCTTCAGCAGCTCGGACTTCACGTAGGCGAGTCCAGCAGTGTCCGCTGTGGCAAAGACCAAGTCGTCGACGTACACGAGGATGTAGAACAGCGGCAGGGAAGTGTCGGTGCGAAGAAACAGCGACGGGTCAGCAGTAGAAGGAGCAACCCAAGAGCCGCAAGCGTAGTCCTCAGTGTGTCGTGCCACTCACGCGGTGCCTGGCGGAGACCGTAGACTGGCGGTCGGAGGCTCCACTGGGTGCCAGGAGGGAAAGTCCCAGTGAAGCCTGGTGGACGGCGAAGCCAGATCTCCTCGTGTAGGCTACCCTGCAAGAACGCAGTGCTGAAGTCGAGAGAGTGAAGCTCGTAGTCGCGCTGAGCGGCTATGTGCAGCAGCACCCGAAGAGTAGTCATCTTCGGGGTGGGAGAGAAGGTCTGAAAGTAGTCAACTCCCAACCGCTGACTGAAGCCACGAGCAACGTACCGTGCCTTGAAGACAGGTGGAGAGCCCGGCGGCCGCTTCACCCTGAAGATCCACATGCCACTGACGATGTTCGCCCCAGGAGGGGGAACCGCGTCAACGTAGGTGCCTGTGGACTTCCAGGAAGCCATCTCTGCATCCATAGCTGCCTGCCACTGAGAGGAGTAGGGACCCTCTACGGCCTCCGCGTAAGAACGCGGAGTCGGGATGTCTAGTGCATCCGGGTCTCCCTCAGGGGCAAGCAGTACAGACGCGAGATGAGGTGAAGCAGCCGCTAGACACTATAACTCCTCCTGCCTGTCCTCTAGGACGTCCGTGCCAAGAGCACACTCACCCCCGACGGACGGAGGACAGACAGACGCAGACTCAGCAACAAGACTAGCAGCGTAGTCGAGACGACAGCGAGCAGCAAAGTCGACGAGCTCAGCGACTAGAGCAGACGCAGCAGTGGACTCAAAAGAGGGGTCAGTGACGATAGTAGCAAGCAGACGCGTGACAGTAGGACTGGCAGCACGAAGAGAGTCCGACTCAGGGTCGGCAAGCGTAGGAAGAGAGGACTCAGGAGGAGAAGGCAAAGGGGCACGCAGAGGAGCAGTGGACGGACGCAAAGACATCCGGTGCGTGCCAGGGACAGGAGGAGGACGCTGATGCGAACTGCGACCACTAGCGCGAGCAGCACGAACAGGCGACGCGGGACGAGACGCAGGCTCACGACGCTCAGCAAGACCTCCAGTAGGACCAGTGTAAGGAGAGGGAGCAGGCAGTGGAGAGGAAGGCTCCAGCAGGGACTGCGACTGGACAGGCGGTGGACCCTCTACTGGAGGAGAAAGACCAAGAACCTGCTGCAGGAGCGGAACGAAGTACGGTCGAGGCCGCGCGGCAGCTCCAGACTCAGCAGGAACAGCACCAGCACCCTCAGCGACAGCACCAGCGCCACCCACACCTCCAGCGGCAGGACCAACAGCAGTAGACTCAGCACCAACACCCTCAGCAGCTCCAGCTCCAGGAGGACCCGCAGGTCCAGCAGCTTCGGGACCGGCAGCACCCGCACCCTCGGCGGTCGAAGAAGCTCCAGCTCTAGCTCCAGCAGCACCTCCAGACTCAGCAGCACGCCTCCAGCGGCGAGTGAACCACTCGCGCAGCTCCTGTGGAGAGAGGGGCTCCCGGTGAGACGCAGCAGCAGGAGAAACCCCAGGCTCAGCAGCTCCAGACGCAGCACCCCCAGGCTCAGCAGCTCCCAGGTCAGCACCCCCAGGCTCAGCAGCTCCCGACCCAGCACCCCCAGACCCAGCACCTCCAGGCACAGCACCCCCCGGCTCAGCACCCCCAGGCTCCGCACCCTCCGCAGTAGCACCCTCAGGCCCAGCACCCCCAGCAGTAGCACCCCCAGGCTCAGCACCCCCGCGCACAGCACCCCCAGAGTCAGCACCCCCAGGCTCAGCACCCGCAGCAGCACCAGAGTCACCAGTAACCTCGACCGGGTCAACGGCGTCTACCTGGGACACACCTGAGGGGGCAGGAACCTGAGGGGGGAGGGGGTCTACTGGGGGGGGAACCGGCACAAGGAAGTCCGGGGGAGGGGGGAGGGAAGGAGTGCGGTAGGGGAAGAGACGGTAGAAGGGGACTGACTCGTCAAACGTGACGTCCTGGGAGGACAGAACACGACGAGAGGAGGGGTGGTAAAACTGCCACCCTGGGGCGTCAGTGGGGAAGCCAAGGAAGACACAGGGAGCAGCACGAGGGGACAGCTTGTCCGCAGACAAGTCGCGGACAAATTCCCGAGATCCCCAGACACGGAACACAGACGCATCGCCAACCTTCCCCGTCCACAGCAAGGCGGGGGACATCGCAGGCCGAGAGACCCGGGGGTGAAGGTTGAGCTGATGCGCCGCGTACCTCACCGCAAACGGCCACAGAAAATGGGGGGCAGCCGCATGCATCATGGACGTACGAGCGACATCCATGACCATGCCAATGCGGCGCTCAGCAATCCCATTTTGCTGTGGTGAGCCCGGAAGCGTGAAGGTTTGGCGGATCTTCCGTGCACGACAGTAGTCTCGCAGAAGGCGAGAAGAGAACTCTCCGCCTCTGTCCGAGTGCAGACGCAGAACAGGAAAGTCCGAGCCGAAGCTCTTCCTGAGCTGGAGACAAGCCTCGCGGATCCAGTCGATCAGCACCTCAGTGACCGCACCCTTGCTGCGCAAGGGGAGGACTGTGGTGTAACGCGAGTAGTCGTCAACCACCAACAGGAAGTAGCGTTGGTGACCCTGCCCACGGACGGGGGCTGGGCCCCACACATCCATGTGAAGCGTCTGCAGTGGAGCCTCTGTCGGGGGGAAGTGGGAGGAGTGAGGAGTAGCCCGGAGGCGACCCTCGACACAGGGGACACAGGAAGGTCCTGGCCCGGAGGGGAGAGGAGGGAGAGACTAGGGAAGACCAGAGACAAGGACACTGGAAGCCATGCTCCGAAGACGGGGCAAGGAGGGGTGGCCAAGACGGTGGTGCCACAGGAGAGTCTCGTGAGACAGGAGGCGACAAGAACAGGGGGCAGACTCAGGACCTGACTGGGACGCAGCAGCAAGCACCTGACCTGACGCAGCCACCTGACCAGACGCAGGGACAGGAGGAGACTCAGCTGTCAGGGTGTAGAGACTCGACCCAGGCCGACGCGAGAACGTGGCCAGGTGTCGGCCTGTGCGTGCCTCCGTGCAGTGACCCGCTGACTCGCAGGAGTGAACTGGTGAACCCCCACATCCTGCAGGTCCGCTCCACTCACCAAGTTCGTAGAGAACGAGGGAAGGTACAGACCAGACAGGGTGCCCGAAGGGGCAGCCGGACACGGGAGGACAGTGGAGAAGTGAGACAGGACAGGACCCCCAGAGGGGTCAGCAAGGGAGACCGCAACCGGCCGGCCGAGCGGCGTAAGGGTAGTGCGGTCCCGAAAGAAGGAGCGAGAAGCCCCGGAGTCAAGTGTGAAAGTGAGGGAGGACGAGGACGACGCAGTACCTAAGAGCGCAGTCTCACCAGTACCTGAGAGCACAGACGCACTGGCACCTAGAGCAGCAGCCTCACAAGCACCTAGCGCAGCAGTACCAATGCCCGGGTCAGGCTGGAAACACCGGTAACCCTCATTCTCCTCACTATAATCCACAGCATACATAGCAGCAAGGATAGCATCAAAATCAAGATCAAAGATCGCTACACCAATCCTAAGAAGCTCATCCCAGCGAGGGATCTCACTAGCCCCAGGGAACTGCCGACGCCAAGCATCCGTCAGGCGGCCAAAGCAGCGCTGGGTGGCGTGGGCACCCCCACACTGCTCACCCGCGCGGTCGCCGGAACGAAGAACGTAGGTGCAGGGACCAGTACCCCCACCCCTCTGACGCCCAGCGTACCACTCACGAAGCTGCTGAGGCGGAGGGATGTCCCGCGAGCGCTGCTGCTGCTGCCGCTGTGAGCGCTGGCCACCACCACCGCCGCTACGCTGCTGGGTACCACCCCGACCAGCTCCACCTCCTCCACCACCACCGCCTCCTCCGCTGCCGCCTCCACCGCCTCCACCTCCGCCGCCTCCACCTCCGCCGCTGCCTCCACCACCACCGCTGGCACCACCACCACCGTCTCCGCCGCTGCTGCCACCACCACCACCACCACCCCCGCCACTAGTCCCGCCACCACCCCCACTCCCTCCGCCGCCACCGCCGCCACCGCCACCGCCCCCTCCAGCTCCACCCGCGCCCTTGCCCCCCTTGCCCTTGCTGGAGCGACGTCTCCCACTAGGGGTAGACGCCGCGCCGACCGACTCAAGACCAAGCAGGTCGGCAGCAGCAGCAGAGGCAACAGAGGGCAGCAAGGGGGAAGGAGAGCACCCCTCAAAGATGGGGGTGCGAGGGTCACCACGAGAAGCACCTACAGCGACTATGCTCTTCTCCGCTGCGAGGAGGGCCTTCTCGAGGAGGTCGACGGTGAGGGTGGAGGGACAGACAGCGAGAAAGTGGTCCCTGACGACGCGAAGGGAGTCAGGGAGGCGCGCGACTACGTAGTAGAGAGCGATGTACATGGGGGGGGGGGGTTCTTAGCGCAGAACTCAGCAGGAAGGGCGGCGCGGTAGCGAGTGTCACTAGTGCGGAGGTGCGTAATGAGGTCAGCAACAGTGGGAAAGGCAGAGAGGTCAGGAAAGAGGTAGGGAAGCATGAGACGGCTCAGTGCAGCAGTGGCAGGGGAGGAGTAGCGCGCAACTACAGCGTCGTACAAGGTCTGAGCACTCTTGTACTGGCTAAAGTGCGCACGCTCAGAGGTAGGGAGGTGGCGACGCACAGCAAGACGTGCAGCAGCATCGCGGGTGGCCCACTGAGAGCGGACAGAGGGATCAGCATCAGCAGCAGGAGCAGGAGAGGCGCCAGAGGTGAGGTCAAAGAGAGAAAGGTCGTCAGCCCTGTCGCACTGTAAGAACAGCTGCAGGTCGTCTAACCAGACCTCAAAATCAATGGCGCGACCCTCAGCGTCGAAAGCTAGGACACTAGGGGTAGCCATGGCGACGACAGCGACGCAGTGCAAGCAGTAGGGAAAGAGCTCGCAGTGTCAGTGGGACTGTGCTCACCAGGCAGGGCAGGTCGTGCAGCTCTGCAGAAAGGCGGCTCAGCGACCGGGCGGCTCGGGTGCACAGCGGCTCGGCTCCCGGGCGGCTCGGTGGCTGGGCGGCTCGGGCGCAGGGCGGCTCGGCTCCCGGGCGGCTCGGCGGCTGGGCGGCTCGGGTGCAGGGCGGCTCGGCTCCTGGGCGGCTCGGCGGCAGGGCGGCTCGGGTCCCGGGCGGTTCGGCTGCTGGGGCGGCTCGGCCGGGAGAGGCAGGACCCGCTCTGATACCATGTGAAGTAAGGAAAACAGGAAATGAAAATGACTAAGTCAGAGTTGGGTACAAATACAACCCTAGAAAGCTGTACCCCATATGGGCTACCCCACTATAGCCTACAAACATGCATCAGCTATAATACTCTGACAAATGCTCCTGCCCCTGATAGAGCACAGTGGGAGCTCCGCGATGCAGTAGCCCGCCTTGTTATTCGCAATCACCTACCGATCTCTGAGCGCGCGCATTTCAACCAGCTTAAGACTGCTAAGACGCTGTATGATGCTGTCGTTGCTCGCTATTCCGCCCCGGCCACAGCCACCGTTGGTAGTCTCATCCTGCCCTACCTGTTCCCAGACTTAGCCTCGTTTCACACTGCTGCCGACCTTATCACTCACCTCCGCGCTAGTGACGCCCGCTTTCGAGCCGCTCTTACAGACGAGTTCCTCGCCAAGAACGCCCCTCCTCTGTACTTTACCCTCTACATCCTCGTGACCCACCTCCCTGATAGTCTTCGCTCTGTCAGGGATCATTTCCTTGCCAAGGATCCTCCAACTATCACTCTGGACGACTTCGAGCAGCAGCTGGTCGCAGCAGAGAAGAACATCCTCGCTGTCGGTGCTGCTCGTGGCACTCCCCGCACTCCCCTCTTTGAGGGGTGCTCCCCCTCCCCTCTTGACCCCTCCTACGCCTCTGCTGCTACTGCTGTCGACTACCTCGGTGCGGAGAAGGTCGCAGCGGCTTCCGCTCCTAGTGGGAAGCGTGGTGGTGGCAAGGGTGGCAAGGGTGGCCGGGGTGGCGGAGGTAGCGGTGGAGGGAGCGGTGGTGGAGGCGGCGGGGGTGGTGGAGGTGGTGGGGGTGGACGTGGAGGTGGGTGGCCAGCAGCAGCAGCAGCAGCAGCAGCAGCAGCAGCAGCAGCAGCAGCAGCAGCAGCCACAGCAGCAGCAGCAGCAGCTTCCTCCCCTCACCTCCCAGCAGCTCAATGACTGGTATGCTGGGCGTGGGGCGTCTCGGGGTTCTGACCGCTGCCCCTATGTCATTCGTACTGGCCCCCGCAAGGGTCGCCCCTGCAACGGTTTTCACACTGAGTACCGCTGTTTCGCTAGGCTTAGTGACGCCTGGCGCGCCAAGTATCCTGATGCTGTTGAGTTTCCCAACTGGGCAGAGCTGCTTAGGCGTGATGTGCCTATCTTTGATCTGGACTATAATGTTATTCTTGCTGCCATGTATGCATTGACTGTTAGTGCTGAGGGTGACTGCTACTTGTGTGTGCCGCCTGACCCTGGTATTGACCCCGGTATAAGGGCTGCAGCCCTAGGTGCTAGTGAGTCTGCTCCCCTTGGTACTGCGTCCGCTCAGGCCTTGCACACGTTTACACTTGACTCTGGTGCTTCTTGCTGTTTCTTTCGCGATAGCACCACCGTCATTCCCCTCCCTGCACCTGTCCCTGTCTCACTGGCCGACCCCTCAGGGGGCCCAGTGCTTGCACGGTCCACTACTGTGCTTCCCTGTCCGGCGGTCCCATCTGGTGAGCTGTCAGGTCTCCATGTTCCCTCGTTCTCCACGAACCTGGTGAGCAACGCCGTCCTTCAGGATCACTGGGTAGACACCTGGACTCCTGGAGGGCAGCGTGTGGCGATCTGCACGTGCTCCAGAACTGGCCGCCACCTGGCCACGTTCACTCGTGAGCCGGGGTCCAGTCTGTACACCCTCACCACTGTTTCACGCTACACTCCTTTGTCTCCTCAGCTGTACGCGTCTGCTCAGGTAGCTACCCAGTGTGAGTGCCGTCGCCTGTCGCACGACACTCTCCTGTGGCACCACCGCCTTGGTCACCCCTCCCTGCCTCGCCTTCGTAGCATGCACTCTCGCTCCCTAGTCTCTGGGCTTCCCAGGTCTCTGCCTGCCCTCCCTTGCCTCGCCTGCGCCACCCTGCATTCCCTGCGTCGAGGGGCGGCAGCGCGCCGCTCCTCACTCCTCCTCGTTTCCTCCCACAGAGGCTCCGCTGCAGACGCTCCACCTGGACGTGTGGGGACCAGCCCGCGTCCAGGGACAGGGCCGTGAGCGGTACTTCCTGCTGGTTGTCGACGACTACACGCGTTACACCACGGTCTTCCCCTTGCGCAGCAAGGGGGACGTCCCTGCTGTTTTGATCCCCTGGATCCGCGCTGCTCGTCTCCAGCTCCGCAAGTGGTTCCAGTCGGACTTTCCCGTCCTGCGTCTGCACTCTGACAGAGGTGGTGAGTTCTCCTCCGACCTCTTACGAGCCTTCTGTGAGGAGCACGGCATCACCCAGTCGTTCACGCTTCCGGCCTCTCCACAGCAGAAAGGGGTCGTTGAGCGCCGCATTGGCTTAGTCATGGAGGTCGCTCATACCTCCATGATCCATGCGGCGGCTCCCCATTTTCTGTGGCCGTTTGCGGTCCGATACGCCGCGCATCAGCTCAACCTCTGGCCCCGCGTCTCCTTGCCGGAGACCTCGCCCACACTGCTGTGGACGGGGGAGGTTGGCGATGCGTCGCGTTTCCGGGTCTGGGGTGCTCGTGCCTTTGTCCGCGATCTCACTGCGGACAAGCTCTCTGCTCGCGCCATTCCCTGCGTCTTCCTTGGTTTTCCTCCTGACGCGCCTGGCTGGCAGTTTTACGACCCCACCTCGCGCCGTGTCTTTGCGTCTCAGGACGTCACCTTTGACGAGTCTGTTCCCTTCTACCGTCTCTTTCCCTACCGCACTGCCTCTCGCCCCCCGCCGCTCTTTCTCGCTCCAGGTCCTCCCCAGGTAGACCCCCTCCCCGCGCCAGGTCCTGCTCCTTCAGGTATTTCTCAGGTAGACCCTCCGGTACCTGCGCCTGCTGAGGTCACTGGTGACTCAGGTCCTGCTGAGGGTGGTCCTGCTCGGGGTGCTGTTCCTGGGGGTGCTGAGCTTGGGGGTGTCGAGTCTGAGGGTGCGGAGCCTGTGCGAGGGGAGCCTGGAGGTTCTGAGCCTAGGGGTGCGGAGTCTGGGGGTGCTGTGCCTACGCGTGAGGAGCCTGGAGGTGCTGGGGCTGAGGGTGCTGCGTCTGGAGGTGCTCCTGCTGGAGAGACTGAGGTTAGAGACCATGGGACTGGAGGTGCTGGTTCTGGGGGTGCTGCTACTGGAGACACTGAGGTTGGAGACCCTGGGACTGGAGGTGCTGGTTCTGGGGATGCTGCTCCTGGAGACACTGAGGTTGGAGACCCTGGGACTGGAGGTGTTGGGACTGGAGCTGGGACTGGAGCTGCTCGAGGTGCTGGAGGTGCTGGAGCTACTGGAGGTGCTGGAGCTGCTGGAGGTACTGGAGCGTCTGGAGCTGCTGGTGCTGGTGCAGCTGCGCCGACACGACTGTTCTTCGCTCCGCCGTCTCCGTCGTCTCTGCCGCCGCCTGACTCTCTTCTTCGTTAGGTTCTTACTCTCCCGTCGTCTACTGGTCTTCCGTTACAGCCTAGCTCACCACTGCCTGCTCCTTCTCCTTACGCAGAGCAGACAAGTAGTCCGGCTGAGCGTCGTGAGCCTGTGTCGCGTCTTGTCTCGCCTGTTCCTCCTGGTCGTACCGGTCGTCGTGTTCCTAGTTCGTGCCAGCCGGCTGTCCCCAGCGCGCACCTCGTAGTCCGTCGTCCTTCCTCTGCTCCGCAGCCTGTCCCTCTGCCGTCTCCCCCTGCGTCGTCTCTGCCTGACGTTCCGGCCCCTGCGTCTAACCGGTTTCGTGCTGAGCACCCTACTGTCACGCGTCTCTTAGCCATTGTTGTCACTAACCCGTCGTTTGAGTCTACTGCCGCGTCTGCTCTGGTCGCTGAGCTTGTTGACTTTGCTGCTGCCTGTCGTCTAGACTTCGCTGCCAGTCTTGTTGCTGAGTCTGAGTCTGCCTGTCCTCCGTCCGTCGGGGGTGAGTGTGCTCTTAGCACGGACGTCCTTGAGGACAGGCACGAGGACCTTGAGTGTCTTGCGGCTGCTGCGCCTCATCTCGTGGCCATGCTGCTTGCCCCTGAGGGAGACCCGGATGCACCAGACATCCCGACCCCGCGCTCTTACGCAGAGGCGATCGCGGGTGAGTACTCCTCTCAGTGGCAGACAGCCATGGACGCAGAGATGGCATCCTGGAAGTCCACAGGCACTTACGTCGATGCGGTTCCCCCTCCTAGGGCGAACATTGTCAATGGCATGTGGATTTTCAAGGTGAAGCGGCCGCCGGGTTCTCCGCCTGTCTTCAAGGCTCGTTACGTTGCCAGAGGCTTCAGTCAGCGAGAGGGAGTTGACTTCTTCCAGACCTTCTCCCCGACCCCGAAGATGACCACTCTTCGGGTTCTGCTGCACGTCGCCGCTCAGCGTGACTACGAGCTCCACTCTCTTGACTTCAGCACAGCTTTCCTACAGGGCAGCCTGCACGAGGAGATCTGGTTGCGCCGCCCACCTGGCTTCACTGGGTCGTTCCCTCCTGGTACCCAGTGGAGCCTCCGGCGGCCAGTCTACGGTCTCCGCCAGGCGCCTCGTGAGTGGCACGACACACTGAGGACTACACTTGCGGCTCTTGGGTTCGCTCCTTCGACTGCTGACCCGTCACTGTTCCTGCGCACCGACACTTTGCTGCCGCCGTTCTACATCCTCGTGTACGTCGACGACTTGGTTTTTGCCACAGCTAACACTGAGGCTCTCACCTTGGTGAAGTCGGAGCTGCAGAAGAGACACACGTGCACAGACCTGGGTGAGCTGCGCAGTTACCTTGGCTTGCAGATCACTCGGGACAGAGCACGCCGCACCATCACACTGACTCAGTCACACATGGTGCAGCAGGTCCTTCAGCGCTTCGGCTTCACCTGGTCCTCGCCGCAGCACACTCCTCTGGCTACAGGTCACTCGCTCTCAGCTCCACCTTCGGACGAGTCCGTAGAGCCGAGTGGTCCTTACCAAGAGCTAGTGGGCTGCCTCATGTACCTGATGACCTGCACTCGTCCTGACCTAGCGTACCCTCTTGGCCTTCTCGCTCGCTACGTGGCTCCTGGTAGACACCGACCAGAGCACATGGCTGCTGCTAAGAGGGTACTGCGCTACTTGTGCAGTACATCGCGCATGGGGCTCGTGCTTGGAGGACGGAGTGAGGTGGTCCTCACTGGGCACTCAGACGCTTCTTGGGTTGACGACTACGCTACACAGCGGTCGTCACAGGGTTACACCTTCAGCCTTGGCTCTGGCTCTGTTTCTTGGCGGTCTACACGCTCGTCTTCTGTTCTCAGCTCCAGTTGTGAGTTTGAGATCTACGCCACCGCCATGGCTGCACAGGAGCTACGCAGGCTTACCTACTTGCTGATTGACTTGGGTGAGAGGCCTCGTTCTCCTCCAGTTCTGTACGTTGACAACAAGGCAGCCATTGCCTTGTGTGAGGAGCACAGACTGGAGCACAAAATGAAGCACATCGCTCTGCATTACTTCCTGGCTCGAGAGTTGCTGCAGCGAGGGCAGCTTCGTCTTCGTCACGTGGCCACTCGGGCCAACACTGCTATTGCTGCATGTATATCTATATATCTATGCATGCTTTCCACCCACTCCAGCCCCCTTTCCCCCTCTCCTGCATGCTTTCCACCCACTCCAGCCCCGCTTCCCCCTCTCCTGCATGCTTTCCACCCACTCCAGCCCCCTTTCCCCCTCTCCTGCACGCTTTCCACCCACTCCATCCCCCCTTCCCCCTCTCCAAAATGCTTTCCACCCACTCCAGTCCCCCTTCCTCCTTTCCAAAATGCTTTTCCACCCACTCCAGCCCTTGGCCAATTTCCCCCTTTCGCTATGCTCTCCACCACCTCTTTCGCTGCTTTCACATTTTCTTGGTTCATGCTCGTGGTTTCAGGTGCACACGGCACTTGCGATTCCGCCCCACGACAAGATGGAATGGACGTCAAGGGGGCAGTTTGTCAAGGCTAGCCCGGGCGAGAAGAACTTCTCATCTGTTGCAATCAACCCTCCAGGGAAGGGGTCCCCCTGGTACGGCCGTTGTCTTGTCCTGTTTCACTACAACAAAGATGGGGAGCTGAGGCGCGGAGCATATGTGGAGTATTACACCGAGGACAAGCGACTATGCTCGTCAACGGGATGCAAGCGCCTTCCACCCACAGAGGGCGAGGATGATTTTGCAGTGATTGATGTCGACTGCATTCTCAGTCTCGTACACATTGTTCCCTCATGTGAGGACGATGAAGTGAGCCTTCTTAATAGATTCGTTTGGTGAGATCTAGCGATCGTAGACAACTTTGACGCATTGTGACTTTTGTAAACATGAAATTGTTCCCTGAATACCGTAATCTCCCGGACAAAACACCCCCCCATGATAGTACACCCCCGAGTAGCTTGTGCGGGGTGGGTGCTATGGGCGACCTCGTTTCTACTATACCCCCCTTTTTGGATGATTTTCTATAACACCCCCCTTTCCTTACGGATTCCTAGTATAGTTGTTATCGAGTCTGATTCCTTCCAGGGGAATATCGCGAGAATTGCTTCCTAAATGAAATTTCGCGCGTACTTGCACTTAGAATCCGCCAACATTTCCCCCTCCCACAATCTCACTGTCGCCACCCTGGCGAATCTTTCGCTGCAAGTGGACATTTCCCCCATCCCACATTCTAGGAAGTTGCCACGCTGGCGAATCTTCCGCTGCAAGTGGCCCGAAAGGTGAAACTCACATTCTTGCCAAAACTCACATTCTCGCCTCAAACTGTGATGTTAAAACGACCATTGAAACACCCAAACTGTCTAATTTGAGAATCCTCTTGCATTAAAATATACCATATGTAACCACCCGGGTATTATATAGGATTTTCCGTTGAGAGGACCCCCCCCCTTTTTTCCCTGTGGTTATCATAATACCCCCGGGTGTTATGTCCGGGAGAATACGGTATGTTCTTTTTAGGCCCTGTTTGAATATAATAGGTGTGAAATTTCCAGCAAATGGTTAAACATGACTCCTGGAAACACTATTTTCATAGAGAAAATTACATCATATTCAAAGAAACATAAGTGCAAATGTCATGAATGTAACAAATGGTACACAAAAGCCTAAACGAGGAATTCTTGGAGAGAATCAAATTTCTCGCTATCTGCTCCCACGCGAAGAGACATGCTCGACTATCTGTTAGGCCCGGAACCCGAATCCTGCGCACAAGCAAGAAAGAGTTAGGAGCAAACACTCAGAATGTGCCTGGAAAACATTCCGCCGAAGGCAAACGTTTTTTAGAGTTTCCCTGTACGTTTTTCAAACGATTGTCAAACGTACGATAGGCCGCCGCGAATGTCAGATGATTTTCAGACACACACATTTTTGTGATGTTGTCCTTCCTTCACTGCTCTCAGCAAGCAGCGCCAGCAGGCAGGCAGCCAGGGGGAGGAGGGAAAAGGGGCGGATGCTGTTGGTGAGCTTGGCAAGGGGGATGGGGGAGGAGGCAGAGGGCGTGGTGGAGGGGGCTGGTGAGGGTGTAGGTGAGGGGGACGCGGGGGGGATGGGCTGGCAGAAGCTGTGTTCGACGTGGAAGGTCTGGCAGGAGAAGTGTAGGGGAGGGCAGGTGTTGGTGGTCGTCCTGTGAGGGTATGGGAGAAACAGAGGAGAGGAGGATGCATAGAAGAGGGTAGGGCAAGAGAGCGCAGTGTATGGATGGTGACACAAGGCAAGGTGAGTGTGACTGAGAGAGTGTGAGTGAATTGCACAACTAAGACAGCTCGTGCATTTCCGGTTCAATTTGATTCAGCGATCAGTTATACCTGAATTAACCTAAGTCGGTTTTTGCTCATGTCTAAGGAGTGCCACTCAGGAGCATCACTTGAACCAGCGTCACTAAGGAGAGGCACTAGAGAGCAATCCTCGCGGATACGCAAGATGAGAAGTCGATGTTGAACTGGAACTCGAACTCTATGTTACGGCAAGCAGACACCTGCGGCACATTGCCAGTTAGGTAGTTGGAGCTCAAGTCCCTGGCGACGTGGGGAGGATTGGGGGGAGGGAGGGAGGGAGGGGGTGAGAGGGATAGGTCGAAGGAGAGGACAGGGGAGGTGACGTAAAGGTGGAGGGGATGAAAGGGGGGAGGGAGGGGGGTATGTGGGAAGGTGGTGTGGTGCAGCCAAGAAGTGATTGGAGGGAATAACAGGCTGGTGAGTGACTTGGGGGCGAAAAGACCAGAGGCAGGAGGCAGAGGACCCCACACCACAGCTCGTTGCTGTACAAGAAGCTGCCATGAAGGGGAGGACGGAGGGGAAGAGTTGCGAGAGGCTTTTGAAACGCGTCCATGCAACTTGTGCTGCCCACCGGATTACACTGCCTCCTCGGGGGCTGGCTCTTCCTGACAGCAGCAGGGCGAGGAGGGAGCGTGAATAGGGGAGACCGAGAGAGGGGGCGGGGGGTGAAGAGGGGGGGAAGGGTTGGGAGAGAAGCTTAAAGGAGGGGTGTTGGGGAGAGGGGATGTGTGCCGGCCACCGAACTTTGCCTACTCCTCGGGGGCTCCTCCTAACAGGGGTAGGGTGGGGTGGTAGAGGGTCGGGAGAGAGGGTCGGGGGAGAGGGTCGGGAGAGAGGGTCGGGGAAGAGGGTCGGGAGAGAGGGTCGGGAGAGAGGGTCGGGGGAGAGGGGTGCGGGAGAGGGGTGGGGGAGAGGGGTGTGGGAGAGGGATGGGGGAGAGGGGTGTGGGAGAGGGGTGTGGGAGAGGGGTGGGGGAGAGGGGTGTGGGAGAGGGGTGTGGGAGAGGGGTGTGGGAGAGGGGTGTGGGAGAGGGGTGGGGGAGAGGGGTGTGGGAGAGGGGTGTGGGAGAGGGGTGGGGGAGAGGGGTGTGGGAGACGGGTGCGGGAGAGGGGTGTGGGAGAGGGGTGTGGGAGAGGGGTGTGGGAGAGGGGTGGGGGGGGAGGGGTGGGGGAGAGGGGTGCGTGAGAGGGGTGGGGGGGAGGGGTGGGGGAGAGGGGTGTGGGAGAGGGGTGGGGGAGAGGGGTGGGGGAGAGGGGTGTGGGAGAGGGGTGTGGGAGAGGGGTGTGGGAGAGGGTTGTGGGAGAGGGGTGTGGGAGAGAGGTGTGGGAGAGGGGTGTGGGAGAGGGGTGGGAGAGAGGGGTGGGGGACAGGGGTGTGGGAGAGGGGTGTGGGAGAGGGGTGGGGGAGAGGGGTGGGGGAGAGGGGTGGGGGAGAGGGGTGCGGGAGAGGGGTGCGGGAGAGGGGTGGGGGAGAGGGGTGGGGGAGAGGGGTGCGGGAGAGGGGTGCGGGAGAGGGGTGTGGGAGAGGGGTGTGGGAGAGGGGTGGGGGAGAGGGGTGGGGGAGAGGGGTGTGGGAGAGGGGTGTGGGAGAGGGGTGGGGGAGAGGGGTGGGGGAGAGGGGTGGGGGAGAGGGGTGTGGGAGAGGGGTGGGGGAGAGGGGTGGGGGAGAGGGGTGCGGGAGAGGGGTGCGGGAGAGGGGTGGGGGAGAGGGGTGGGGGAGAGGGGTGTGGGAGATGCGTGGCAGAGAACAGAGGACAACTTTCACACGAGTTGCATGTTCGAGCTCACCTTTTTGACTGGTCCATCACCACTTACAACCCCCAGACCCCTTTACGCCTCAACTTCTGTCAACCCTTCGATATCGTACCTATATCCTCATACCCTGCCCTCACTCCCTCGTAGGTGCGGCCACTCGCGCATGACCCGCGAGGCACCCTTTACCCCCCGTCTCCCCTAATCCCCTCTTCCCCTCCTCCCCATCCCCCCAACGCTTACCTGTATCCCCCATAATCATCCCTTATCCCATGGCTCACCCACAGGTGCTCTCCCCCCCTTTTATCCCCCCGTCCCCCGTACTCCTTCCTCCCCGCCCTGGGCCCCCCCCACCGCTTCATCGTATTACCACAATCATCCCTTGTCCCATGGTTCCCTCGAAGGCGCAGCACCAGGCGCAGGCAGCCACTCGCGCAGCACCATGCGGCCTGCTACTGCTGGCACGCGGTCCTCACGCACCTGGCGGGGTGGAAAAGGGGTAGGAGGGGGAGGAGGGGGGACAACTTATAACCAGCTTGCACATCACAATGTGGTTGCTGGCGCATGGACCTCACAAACCTGCGGGGATAGGTGGAAAGGGCACGGGGGGAGAGGGGGATGCTCCTAGATGTCTCAAAAAACAATCACCATGCGGTCCGCTGGGAGACACACAGTTGTCACACACCTGGCGGGAGGAGGAGAGGGGCACGGGGGGGAGAGAGCGCACAACAACTGTGCAGGGTGTTTTCAGACGTTGCGATAGAAGCTTCTGTGCGGGGCGGGGGGACGGGCATGGAGGGGAGAGAGAATGCGAGGGTGTTGTAAGGCATCGCAATAGAAGCTTCCACAGAACCAGGACGTGTGCTGCCATGTGGTGTGCTGGCATGTGGCATGTGGTGTGCTGGCATGTGGCATGTGGTGTGCTAGCTGGCATGTGGCATGTGGTGTGCTGGCTGGCATGTGGCCCTCACACACCTGCAGCACACCGAGCGGATGGGGGCACAGAAGAGAATGGGCGTTGATGGTAGAGTAGACAAGGGAAAGTGTAGGGATGTCTTGCAACGTTATGAACAGGCTTGTAAAGACCGTTCGGTACGCAGGCACACGTCCTCGCACAATGCAGGGGGTAACAAGGGAAGGGGGGGAGTTAGGACGGGGGTGAGTGGGGGAAGGAGGGAGGGGGAAGGGGGAAAACGGCAGGGACGGCGCGGAGGGGAACAGGCAGAGAGGCTAAGGATGGAGGATGTTGCACAGAGTGTGCACACCTGCGCGATCAATGTCACACAGGTGGAGAAGTGAGAGAGTTCTAAACTTGAGAGAACACGATTGTTAGCAATCTCCGTTACCACTCATTTCTCCTCACCCTTTCATCACCAACCAAAACCCCCATTCCCTCACCCCCCTTTTCTCCCCTCTCCCCATCTTTCCCCACCTTCTCATCCCTCCCCTCCCCATCTCTCCCCGCGCGCCTCTCCCCTCTCCCCTGGCACACCTCGAAGAGCACCCTCTTTCGTTCTCCATGCCTGCCCCCTCCCCCCCCACCCACCACCCCTCCCCCCAACCCCCACCCCCCCCCCCCCCCCTTCCCTGCCCTCCTCTCCGCGCCCTCTCCCTGCCCTCTCCAGCCATCTCCCTGCCCCCACGTCTCCCCTCCACCGAGCCCACCTCTCCCTGCCCCCTTCCCACGCCCGCACCTCAAAGAAGCGTGCGATCTCGTCGGGGGGGCATCCGCTCTCACTCTCCATGCCCATCTGCCGCCGCCGCCCCCTTCGTGTGGGTCCTCGATTGTCAGCCGCGCCAGCCGAAAATGCACTGCATCAGTACGCGTGGAGGGCGCGCGGAGATTGGCGCGGGGATGTTGGAACGCGGCAGGGTAGAGGAGGGGGGGGGGGAGGGGGAAGAGTGGGGAAAGGCGGGGGGAAGAGGGGAAGAGTGGGAGAAAGGGGGGGAAAGGGGGGAAGAGTGGGGAAAGGCGGGGGGAAGAGGGGAAGAGTGGGAGAAAGGGGGGGAAAGGGGGGAAGAGTGGGGGAAAGGGGGGGAAAGGGGGGAAGAGTGGGGGAAGGGGGGGAGAAAGGGGGTCGAAATCGAAAAGACCAGGGACGGATATGAGCTAAGAGCGCGAGCGAAGAAAGACGGACAATGACGACCAATGACGGACGGCATCGACGGATAACGACAGGCAAGGACCGACATGACCAACGATCACAGACAGATACGGCGAGAGCGCGCGCGGTCCTCCTGCACCGTCATTTCGCGATGCAGGGAACGAAATACAGACTCGAAAAGTTTCTTGAGACAGCAGGTCGGGGGTAGTGTACATGCGTGAACGCACCTCCTGCACCGTCATGTCGCGACGCTCCTTGAGCAGGTCGATGGCCTCCATGCGAGGCGCGGGGGGTGGGAGCCTGTGTGAATATGTACGAAGTACAGGGAAGGACAGGGATTACTGGGCTAACTCGTAAAAACGTTCCGCGGAAACAGTCATGGAAAATCAGAATCTAGCCTCACGACATCATCGAGCTCGACGCGCATGAGCGACTGCTGCTCGGGAGCTTGTCTGATTGTGGGGCTTAGCTCACACGAATATTCCGCGGAAACAGTGAATTTTAGCAAAACGAAGAGAAATTGATGCAAAACTGATAGTCACGGGGAGATGGGCAGTACTGGGTCGGTGCGTAGAGAGGCCAGGAACTAGAAGCCACTATATCAAAGCATTCACGTACTACCGAAACGGGGGTTCCAGAAATGTGAGAGGACAGTGGTTCGTGAATGGACGTCCTGAAGTTAGCGATTTTATCACCGAGAGATTTTAGGAGGTCGTTGGAAGGCGGGTTCAAGTTCCAGTGTTGGATGTACTACATCCGACTCTGAGAGCGACAGGTTCGGGTGCGAACTGTGTTCGGTACAGGCTCGGACGCTTGGGATATAAACGAAAACGACGGAGTTTGTCTCGCTGCTGTCGCAGCAGTGCCACGCAAAATTTCGATGGGATATTTGTTACCACTGTTTGCCAATTCCAATGGTACCACTTTTTGTGTGTCCCGCCAAAGGTAACGAACTGGATGAATCCTGTTTCGAATGCGACCCCGGAATGGTTGGATTCAAATTTGAACAGATTTCTCAGACGCTGGCACTTTGTGTGGGCTCTCTCAGGACGATTAGGGTTCCCGTTGCCATGCTCATATTCCAATCCTTTCACCGAGACAGCTTACCAGATCGTGAATTAAACATAGGCCAACTACAGACGCCGTGATTCTACAATACGACGTCTTACACGAATGATTCGATGTACATATGCTGTATATTCCATATAACGATTCTGTATAGGCTTGGAATCTGTGATGTATAGGCTGGACCAGGTTGGAATTTCATACCCGCCGCATAAGGAATTCGCGTATCGGAATTTACGGCCTGGGATTCCGATTCTGTTTTACCCAAACCCGCTGTAGTCCGTGACAAATTTCAACACCGTAGAACAATGTTGTTCAATGCTTCAAGCCCCTGCGGCGAGCCTGTTTGCGCTTATCTCAGCGGCGTTGCTAGTGTCTTTCGGGATCAGCAGGACCTGCTGACGAAATGGGAGGCCCAAATACTCGAACCAGGCAAGTCAACGAGCAGAAAACAACGCCAACGAAATGCGAGAACCGCCGGCCAGCAAGCATCCGAGAAGCTTCAGCTGATGAGCCGGACGGATATGGTTCACTACGTCGATGTGAGCGGCGGGTGGGATGCGGGTGAGTGCGATTGGTGCTTCGACCGTGCCGTGGCGTACAGAGCTGCGGACGCCCTAGGTGAGGGCGTCACGTCGTTTCTTGTGCACCTGCATCGCGATCAGTCACCCGCCATCCCCCGTGCTCCCCCAAGCCGACCCACCAGGGCGATGCTTGACTTTTCCTGGAATGTACCGGTGCAGCGGATAAGGGGGCAGCAAGGGGGGCTGGGGGGACAGCAGGGGAGGCAAGGCGGGCAGCAAGGGGGGATGGGAGGGCAGCAGCGGAGGCAAGGCGAGCAGCAGGGGGTGTCTCCTCGGGAGCAGCTCGTCTGGAAGTGTGAGAAGGTACCGCTGCTATGCGTGCAAGCTATGCTGCTCGAGTGGATGGCTGAGCCTCGTGTAGGTGTGCTCATGGACCTGGGGAGGATCAGATCCCGCCTGCCTGCTGTTCTGGCCAATCGAGGCTCTCTTGGGGATTCCCCTACTGCATCAGCTGCTTCTGCATCTGCTGCTGCCCCTCCTACTGCTGCAGCGTGGTCCCTCTGCTGGCGCTGCAGCAGCTGCTGGGCTGCCTACCGCCGTGCTGTCAGCTTCGCTGCCTTCCTCGTGCTCGTGGCGAGGTGGCCTCGAGTTGACACAGTATGGAAGGCGCACGTGAATAGATACGATGCGGGGCTCGTGTACCCAGCCCTGGTGGCCCAGCTGGGGGCGGGCAGGCAGGTGGAGAACGATTGCTTCGCATCCGTGTTGGTGCAGGTGCTGGGGTTGAAGGAGAGTGCTGATCTAAAGGAAGGGTTTGGGTTCTTTGTGCAGCAACTGCTGTCAGGCGGGCTGGAGAAGACAGATGCGGAGGGGAGGAGTGGTGTTGGTGAAGGTGAAAGTGCAGGTGCAGGTGAAGGTGAAGGTGCAGGTGCAGGTGAAGGTGAAGGTGCAGGTGCAGGTGAAAGTGCAGATGCAGGTGAAAGTGCGTTGCAATCACGTGCACGTGTGCTGAATTCACTTTTGAAAATTCTTAAAAGTGAAGGTGCAGGTGAAGATGGTGGTAGTGGGGGGGTGGAGAGGGGTGGTGGTAATGGCGGGAGCAATGGGAAGGGTGAGCAGTGGAGGAGGGAGCATCTGAAGGGGCGTGAGTGGGAGAGGTATGTGGATGGTATGGCTTGGATTCTGAAGCATGGTGGGGGGGAAGAGAGGGAGTTCAGGTGCAGCCACTGCAGTGAGGGGTGGAGCAGCAGCAGTGGCAGCGGCAGCAGTAGCAATATCAGCGGCGGCGGCAGCAGCAGCACCATTTTGGAAGGCAGGGAATTCCCCAAGGGCATCCCCAAGGGCATGTATGTGAGTGGCGTGGGTGCCACTGACTTCGCCCTTGCAGTCGCCTCTGTGTTTTCCAAGCCAGAGCACCGCAATTTGGGAGTGATGCTCTTTGCGAGGGGTAGGAGTGCATCCAGAAATGGGGTTGAGGAGGCAGTTATTGAGGAGGCCAGGGAGAGGCTGAGACAGCAGGGCCTACAGAACGGATTGGCAGCAGGGGTGAACGAGGGAGGGGCAACAGGAGAAGGACTTAAAGCAGCAGCAGCGGCGGCTCCAGCAGCAGCGGCTCCAGCAGCAGGACAGTCAGTGAGAGCTGGCTGTTCTCTTGGCAGCAGCGATTCCGATGGGATTCGTGGCTTGGTTAGCTGCTACAGCGGTTGTACCGGTAGCAGTGGGACATTCAGCTCTAATCTCATGCCTGTCAACGCAGACCCTGTTATCGGGCTGCTCACCTATCGGGTTGCTCGCATATTGCAGTGGCTTCGGATCTACGGCTCAGATTCCATCTCTGCCAAGAGCTGCTTCAAGGACAGCCCACGAGGAAAGGTCCTGCCCATGCGCCACCCGCTTCGGGATCTTCCGAGCCTGCTGGTCAGGTTCGGCGCTGTTCTCCCGCCACTGGATGGAGGCAGCCGACTTGCGGAGTGGGAGGAGTGGCCTGAGGGGGATGAAGCTGCTGTGAAGTTTCCTGTCGACGCCAGTGCCAGATGTTTCGGGCTGGGCCGGAGGAATAGCAGTCTGGGTCGCAAGAACAGAGGTCATGTGCAACGCAGCAGCAGGGGAAGTCTTCGACGAAAGCTCCCACTGAAGAAGCGCCTGCATTTCCGAGCGAGTGCTATCCCATCGTGCGCTGCAAGGCAGATGTTGATTACTTAGTTGAGATCCTCGGTGTGTTTCTGAAGGCACCTGCGTGTGCCCAGTGCAGCACATGCATCAGCAGGTTCGTCTCCCTCGTCCCCGTTGTCGCTCTCATCGCCAACTTCGCCTACCTCCCTGCCGCCGCTCTTCTCGACTGCGTCCTCTCTGTCTTCCCGCCGCACACTGAGGAGTTCCGCCGCCTTCTCAAACGCGTGGGGCTGGCCGTTCCGCCCACCCCCGTATCTGTCTCGCTGAGCAGCCTTTCTGCCACGCGCAGCAGGCTGCTTGAGTTGATGGAAGATGCGGATTTCTTCCGCATCTCCTTCCTGCTCCACACAGCGCTTCTTTGCTCCACGTCTCTCCTGGAGCAGATCAGGCCTGAGGGGCAGCAGAGTTTGCTCGTTGGAGGAGAGTGCAAGGTTGTGTGGGAGGAGGTACAGTCGTGGCTTATGGCAGTAATGCTTCCGGTTGGTGGTGTTGGAGCGAGGGGGGCGGCCTGCAGTGGCAGCCAGTCAAGGAAGGAGGATTTGAGTGCACGTATGGAAGAGGTAACTGAGATGTATCTTAGTGTTCATAGCAGCAGCAGCAGCAGCAGCAGCAGCAGCATCTTTAGCAAGCAGACAAGCAAGGAGGGGAATGAGCCAGATTACCTGAAGGCATGGCCGGGGGGAGTCAATCTGTTCGCATGTCTGCGAGAGATGCTGCTGGGGGAACCATGCTACCGCCCTGCCGCTTCTGCTGCGTATTCCATCCCTTCTGCAGCGAGCAAGCATACTGCTGCTGTTGCTCCAGACGTGCAAGGCCGTGTGTGCGGTGCTGCGGGGTGTGGGACGGTGGAGGGTGGTGGTGTGAAGCTGAGAATCTGTGGTGCGTGTGGCAAGGTGGCGTATTGCAGCAGAGAGTGTCAAAAGGCGCACTGGCCCTCCCACAAGCTCACATGCCCAGGCAGGACCAGCGGCAAGAGGAGTGGGAAGAACAGTAGCAAGGTGAGTGGCAATGTGAGTGGCAGGAGGGAGGTGACTTTTGGGTCAACTCTAAAGCTGTGATGTACATGCCACGATTTTCATTGTGTCACACAGACTCAATGCGATTGGTCACGCCCCTTGAGATTCCATGAGATTGGTCACGCCTTTTTAAATGCCCAGTGGTACAAGTGGTGTTGTGGCAATGCTGGCTCCTATGCCACCTCCTCTCACTTAATGGTTCTTGCCAGGGTGTCCGCTGGTATTGGTGCCTTGGCAATGACTTGCGTAGCAGCTGATGGTTTCGACCCTTTAAGCGGCCGAACTTTGACCATCTCTCCCCCATTTCACCCCCCTGTCCCACCGCCCTGCTCTACCTCCTGTCTCCTACCCCTCCTGTCCTTTTCACCAATTAACCCTCATGCACGCCCTTTTCTTTCCCCCTCGCACACTCACACTTGCTCTGGGCAGGCCTGAATTGCTCATTATGTGCAATTCAATACTCATGTATGGCCATCATGTATGGCCATCATGTATGGCCATCATGTCTGGCCATCATGTCTGGCCATCACCATTGGCCATCCATCACTATCAACATCCACTGGCCACTGCTGGTTCCATATATCTGGCTGGCTGATTACGGTAGTCTATCCAGGTGGTATACTCGTTTCAAGACCCTTGGGTACCATGCCCATTGGTACAAAAATCAGGATATTAACTCATTGGCATGTACGCTTGCCCATTTGCTAGATGTCATTTGTTGGCAAAGCAGATCAAGGTAGCAATGCATGATTCATGGTCGGAGGGCAGAGGTGAAGCAAACGTGGGGCATATGTCTGCTTAAAAACGGTAGTAGATCTCACTTGCTACTGCACCAACCCATGCGGCCCATCCCCTGGCATACAGGAGGCAAGTGGGAGATGACGACTACATTTCAAAAAACGGTACTATGGTTCTCACTATTGCGTTGCATACAGCCCACCACCTGCTGTGCCTTGAATCTGCTACAGATTATTTCGCTGATAGGTACATGAAGACCCATGCATGCTAGGTGACTCACGAAAACTGCAACATCTCCATCTTTTTGCGGGAGGAAAAGCGGAGGGAAAGGGGAGGGCAAGGGGACCGAGGAGGGGAGGGGAAGAAGTGGGGAAGGGGAGGGGAAAGGGGCAGGAAGGGAGAGAAAGCGAGGAAAAGGGGAGGGGAAAGTGGAGGAGGGGAAAAAGAGGGAAAGGGGGGAAAAGGGGGAAAGGGGAAGTGGAGAGGAGACAAAAAGGAGGGCACGAAGAGGGAAAGGGGAGCGGAATTGGATTGAAAGATGAAGGGAAAAGGGTTGGCCTGGTGTATGAATGAAATCAAATGACGGTACCTCCCAGTCAACATGCACTGGCGCGATATGCCCACAAACGCCATGCAAAAACCATACCCTGCACACCAAGTGCACAACATGTTCACACCATGGACACAGCATGCACACAGCATGCACACACCATGCACACACCATGCATACACAGTGCATACATACACCATACACACACCATACACCCTCCATGCACACGCACGAATCGCCCCGAACCACCCCGTTCTCCATACATGGGGTTGCACATCATATGCCTCATATTCCTCTCCAACCGATGCTCTTGGCGCCAGTTGCCGCCTCTGCTGCCTCCTTGTCTCGCCTCTGCTGCTCTTCCTGCCTCGGTGGTTATGACGGCTCGTGCCACGTGCCCACCAACAAGAGCAGCTCAAGAGATGGGGGAAAAGGGGCCCATTCAAACACGATGTCGCTTGCTACCATCTCTGGCAGGTCGTGCCCACGAACAAACTATCAGCACACGATGTGCACATCTTGTGGCCCATGATTTGTGAGCTGGAGGTATTTAAGAGAAGGGGGTGGGGAGGGATGGGATGAAGGATGCGTGGGGGAGGAGAAGGGGTATGAAAGCAGGGCAGAAGTGGGCGCAGGCATGAGCACACAAATACACTATCCGAGCAGAGGCACACCAGCTGGGTGAGAGACGGAGAAGGACAGAGAGTTAGGACGGGGGTGGGAGGTGAAGGGAAAAGAATGCAAGGCAGCAACAGTCATTCTCATAGGCCGGCATATGACCCATCCGTGGCCCGTCTGTGCTCGCACCCAGGCTGCAATCTGGCCCGGACCAGCCCAGCTCGATGCTGAAACCCCAGCTGCGACTCAGGTCACGTCCGGCCTGGAGCGCCAGGCCGGGCTGGCTTAATGCGCGCCGACAGTTTAGAACATCAGCCAAGCCAAGGCTGCCACCCGCTCTGGCTGCCACCCGCCCTGGCTGCCACCCGCCCTGGCTGCCACCCGCCCCATGCTCGTGCCTAAGATGTGTCATGTGTGCAAAACTCACACGGCGCAGGTGCGGAGCTTCCTGCATCGCTTGATATAACTCCATGACACCACCACCTAGTCTCTCTCCAGCATCACCTGCCGCACCCTACCCAAGACCCAGAGCGCGCGCAAGTGAGACACACCCGAGAGGCATGGCGTGCTGCAGGAGGGCCAAATTGGACGCGTAATGGAGGAGCAGGATGCAGAGAAGTAGCTCCTGCTCATGCTGTATTCTACTATCGGGTCGTGGTGCAGGGGGGATGGTGAGTGGTGGGTGTTGGTTGTGGGGATGAAGCACAGGAAATTGGAAGGAAAAGCAGCTCCTGCTCAAACATGTACAGGTGAGTCAGTCAGGTGTCAATTTTGAGATCCTCAAACGTCACAGGTGCTGCGCTACACTCCTCTGCTCACACACATACAAGAGAATCAGGTGGGTGAGATTTGCGAGGGATTTTGGAGTCGGCCAGTGATGCGTGTTCTCCAAACCCTACTCCAGATCCCTGCATGGATTTCCAAATGGCTCAGAGATCCCTGTGTGGTGGGGAGGGACAAGAGGAGGGCCTTGAGGAACAGGCAGGGCAGGAGCAGGGGCCTTAACAAAAAGGCACGGGATACGGCGTCACAAAACCGTGCCTCGCTCACTCGCCCTGTGCCTCACTCACTCGCCCTCAGTCACCTGCATTGTGCTCCACTCTCTTGCACCCTGCTCCACTTACATGGCAACAACCATGCCGTGGACGTCACACGTGATGGTCTGAGCATTAGAGGGCGGCCCATATGGCGCACGCATCGCTCCCACCTGCCGCCTATCCAACGTCCCCACCCCACGCCTGCTGGCACGCCTACAGCACGGACCACTGCCAGTGGGGGAAAACCAAGGCAGAGGGGGAGGGGTTCTGAGGCGAAAAAATGATTGTTTTTCCCTACGTTGCGTTTCAGGCCACCGTCAAATCATCCCAGACACGCAGCGGACTGCAGCAATGCAATCAAGTGGGGTGGCGGCAATGCAAGAGTGTGGCGGCGGGTGGGAGGGAAAAAAATGAAAGGAAATGAATGGTTGACGCTCGGAGCAATGCTTTAGTGGGCAGTTTGCGTTGAATGAGGGCAAACTGTCACTCGCCAATTTCGAGATGGTGAATGGCGACGTGACTAGGAAAAACGGCTGCGCGACTTGTGCCAGCAGTAGCAGACGGCATGTTGCTGCGCAAGCTTGGTTTGGGTTGTCTCAAAGCAACCAGGCCTTTTCTCTCCCCTCTGTGCCTGACAACCTCCGTCACCCTGCCCCTCCGTGTTCCCGTCTCCACCCCCCCCCCCCCCCCCCCCCCCCCCCCCCCCCCCCCCCCCCCCCGCTGCAGGTGTGTGTGTGAGTGTGTGTGTGAGGGCTGTGTGCAAGCAGACTGCATGGTGTTGTGCAAGCTGGTGTCGAGTCGTTCCCTCCTCTCCCCCAACCCTCCCCCCCCCCCCCCCCCCCCCCCCCCCCCCCCTCTTCTGCCCCCTTTCACCCCCGCCAAGTGTGTGAGGAGGACCATATACCAGCAGTAGCAGATCGCATGGTCTCCTGTGCAGGCATGGCCCCTGCGTAGAAAACAGGAGGTGAACGAGGCGGCTCTCCTAGGTCAGTCAACAAGTAGGTGAGCCAGCGTAGCTCCTGTGCAGCCATGGCCCCTGCGTAGATCTCAGCCTCACAGCTGGAGCTGAGAACAGAAGATGAGCGGGTAGACCGCCACGAAACAGAGCCGGAGCCAAGGCTGAAGGTGTAACCCTGTGACGACCGCTGCAGAGCCTGGTCGTCAGCCCAAGAAGCGTCAGCATGACCTGTGAGGACTACTCGACGTCGCCCTCCAAGCACTAGCTTAATGCCCGACGTACTGCATACGTAGCGCAACACCCTCTTTGCTGCAGCCATGTGCTCTGGTCGGTGTCTCCCAGGAGCAACGTACCGTGTCAAGATGCTAAGGGGGTATGCAAGGTCAGGTCGTGTGCAGGTCATCAGGTACATGAGGCAGTCAACAAGCTCTGGGTACGGGCCACTCGGCTCTACGGACTCATCCGAAGGAAGAGCTGAGAGCAAGTGGCGAGTAGACAGAGGAGTGGCCTGAGGCGAGGAGTACGTGAAGCCGAAGCGCTGAAGGACCTGCTGCACCATGTCTGACTGAGTCAGGGTAATGGTGCGCTGTGCTCTGTCCCGGGTGCTTTGCACCCTTGAGCCGCAGGCGTAGTCCTCAGTGTGTCGTACCACTTACGCGGCGCCTGGCGGAGACCGTAGACTGGCCGCCGGAGGCTCCACTGGGTACCAAGAGGAAACGACCCAGTGAAGCCAGGTAGGCGGCGCAGCCAGATCTCCTCGTGCAGGCTGCCCTGCAGGAAAGCTGTGCTGAAGTCAAGAGAGTGAAGCTCGTAGTCGCGCTGAGCGGCTATGTGCAGCAGCACCCAAAGAGTGGTCATCTTCGCGGTGGGAGAGAAGGTCTGAAAGTAGTCAACTCCCTGCCGCTGACTGAAGCCTCGAGCCACGTAACGCGCCTTGAAGACAGGCGGAGAACCCGGCGGCCGCTTCACCCTGAAAATCCACATGCCACTACCGATGTTTGCCCCAGGTGGGGGAACCTCGGCGACGTAGGTGCGTGTGGACTTCCAGGAAGCCATCTCTGCGTCCATGGCTGACTGCCACTGAGAGGAGTACGGACCCTCGATCGCCTCAGCGTACGATCGAGGAGTCGCGATGTCTGGTGCATTCGGGTCTCCCTCAGGGGCAATCAGCGTGGACACGATATGGGGCAGAGCAGCAGCAAAGCACTGGAACTCCTCCTGCTTGTCCTCAAGGACGTCCGTGCTAAGAGCACACCCACCCTTGACGGACGGAGGACAGACAGACTCAGACTCAGCAACGAGACTAGCAACGTAGTCTAGACGACAGCGAGCAGCGAAGTCGACAAGCTCAGCAACTAGGGCAGACGCAGCAGTGGACTCAAAGGAAGGGTCAGTGAGAACAGTAGCAAGGAGACGCGTGATCGAAGGACTAGCAGCACAAAGGGAGTCAGACTCCGGGTCAACAAGAGTAGGAAGAGAGGACTCTCGAGGAGATGGCAATAGGATACGCAGAGTAGCGGTGGAAGGACGCAGC